CTAGAAATAAAGCTTGGTTCTTTGTGTTTTTTTCTCAAGATGGTCTTGCTAGCCTCTAGTGCAATTTCTACTGTGTGGTGTCTTTCTATTCGAATATCCATTTGTTCCCCTACCCCATCAGGACTTGGTCCTTGCAAGTAATAAAAGACTTCATTGTTCTTCCCTACTTGTCCTCCTAAAATGTTAACACATTTATTTGTGTTGCACTTTATTTACCAATTATTTAGCCTGTTCTGGTCTTAAAGCCTTTGGTCAGTTGTTTTTTCTGGTTACTATGTACAAAAAGAAATTGAGGTGGAAGGGGAAGAGTGGGAATAGCCCAGATACCACATATGGCACAAACTTATTAAATCAAATAGCCTTCATCTGCTGTATAACATCCTATTATTCTAGTGTGATGAATGACCCTCTACACCATATTTTCTTACTCCTGAGCTCCAAAAATGCTAAATACTCTTATCTATGGGGCTCTTCTTATGTAGCCCTAGTGTCCCTATGTCTGGACCAGGAGGCCTGTGTTCAAGCCCCACCTGCTTCAGAGATGAGTCATAAAATGCCCGTACAGTTTAATTTTAAAATATCTATAAAAGGACAGTGGTGGGGTCAGGTGGAAGACTATAAAGTACAAGTTAAAAGAAAGCCATAGTTCACAACAATGTTAAACCATGCTTGAATGACAAATGGGTTGCCACTGTTTTATGATTCTGCTTTCAAATCCTCTCTCACTTTCTGACTTATCTCATTTTCTCTGTTATTCCTTTCAATACAGGGGGTTCTGCTATAACGCCTGTTCTGGCAACGCAAATTGACTATAACGTGACTGACGAATAGGGGAACGCTATTTCTAAAATGTGAACTTGATTCCATTGATTCCAACTGCTCTCCTTCAACCCATGGACCAGGGTGCAATAGCAGCTTTTAAAGCTTGTTATTTAAGGTGCACATTTAAGAAGCTGATTGCAGCCATTGAGGGGGATAAGGACAGTGTTCTTCAATTTTGGAAGAGCTTTAACATCAAGAATGCAATTGACATTATTGTGGAAGCCTGGGGTAATGTCTCTAAGGACTGCCTGCATGCAGTTTGCCAGAAACTTCTCTCAGATGTTTGTCAAGATTTTAAAACTTTTGATCTGTCAGAGGAGCTCCCAAGAATCAAAGATCATCATGTTGAATTTGCAAAGCAAGTCGTATATGAAGAAGTGGGGAGTGAGGATATTTAAGACCTGTTTGAGACCCACTGTGAAGACCTCTCTACATGATCTACAACAACTTGTCGCTGAGAGGGAAGTGGAAGTTGGAGATGAAGATGAAGTCCAGGATGCAACATCACGAGAGCTTTCCACTTCTGTTTATCTTCTATCCTGAGGGAAATTAAGCAGCTGTTGCAGCTCTTAGAGGACAACAATTACAATGCAGAAAGCAGCAGGGTAGCAGTTCATGGAATAAGATCTTATTTAGCACCCTATGAACAGCTTCTTCCTGAAAGAAAAAAAACGGCAAAGCAGCAAAACTGGATGTCTTTTTTAAGCCAACCTCCAAGAAACTGTCAGAAAACGATGAACCACAACTGTCCAATTCTAGATTAACAATATTTTGCCCTAACCCTGCAACCACAACTGCATCTGAAGGTGATGATGATAATGATGATGACAACCCTCAGCGCCTACATTAACAACAGAGCAACCTCAAAACCTTCTCCCCCATCAAGTCATCTTGACATTTTTTCAAGATGAGGTGTTAAATTTACTTCTATTCTATTATTAGATATAAATTACTCAAAATGGACCTTAATCTTTCACCTAGGTTTCTCAATACAAGATCATAGTGCTTCATTTCTGTGAGAGATGATTACCTATACCAATAAAGATAATCTTAAGTAAACTCACCATGAGGTAATTTTTATTGCCCCAGAAGGATAGCAGAAAGCATATACTGGTTTCAACACAAAGCATTGCTTGTGAGTTATAATCAGAAATTCTTAATGTTCCCTATCTAGCAAACTGGGCAATAAACAACAAAAGATAAAATTAAAAATCCCTCAATATTAGATTACATTTGCAATCAGAAGTATGATATGATGAATGAAAGGACTCATCTAGCACATATAATGCTTTGTTGGTTAGCAACGTATGAAAAGCAGAGGTGGATAATGTCTTATTGCTGCATATCAACAAGACTTTGCTCTTCATTATGACACAAACACGGCTATCAATGAATCAGGAAAGAAAACTAACCTTTAAAAGTTACCTTTGACAGTGCTCTGAGTTTGATTGTAATGCTATACCTACAGCAAACTAGTTCTTATAATTTTAGTATCTTCCTGTTCTATCTGCATCGATGGTAGACTGCACTCCAGTTTATTTTCCAGAATCTGTTTACTGAACTTCTCAACGATGGATGTCAATCATTTTGGTAGCATTGTGACAGTGCTTTCATTGCTGATCATTATTTCCAATGCTGTCGTGGTGGTGGTGCTGGTCCTAATGATTCTGAAGAACAGATCTGCTAGCTTGTGTTTCGTCTTGAACCTGGCAGTCGCAGACATGCTGTTAGGATTTACCTGCTTTGGAACAGCTGTTATAGTACTCAGCAGACAGAATTTCACCGCCAGCAGAGAGTTGTGCATATTACGGACTTCACTTATAATCTCACCCTCTGCTGCCTCTATATTAACAATGGTGTCAGTTGCATTTGACCGTTTCCTAGCTATAAAACTACCTTTACAATACTGCCGACTGATGCTGGATAAAATGGTGGTGTTAATCATTGTGTGCCTCTGGACTGTAGCACTTTTAATTGGGTTCCTGCCAGTGATCATTCAGCAGCTACAGCGTGCTGAGTATAATGGGGCCTGCACCCTGTTCTCAATCATCAATCCTAAGTATATTATAATTGTATTTTGCTCTTGTTTTCTTCCTGCTTCATTAATCTTTGTCTACTTCTACAGCGTTATCCTCAAAATAGCATATTCCCATACACGTCAAATCCTTGAAAGTGAGCGAATGAGCACAGTCTTCAGCTCTGCTCCACCACCTCGCTGTCACATCCGAGATGTCAAAGCGATCAGGACCATTGGGATACTTGTCGGATGTTTTATGGTTGCATGGACGCCCTTCTTCATTGCAACTACTGTGCAAGTATGTTGCACCAAGTGCCAATTATACACAACCATTGAAGACTACCTCTGGCTCCTTAGTCTGTGTAACTCTCTGATGAATCCGCTGATTTATTCCTATTGGCAAAAAGATGTGAGAATGCAGGCTCTTCAGCTCTTCTGTGCTGCAAAAGCCAGGATTTCCCCAACATGCACCTTCACCCGCTGTCAATGGGAAGCAAGTGAGATCCAAAGTCCTGGTGCAGAAAGAGGGACTGAAGGTGAATTACCAGTGTCCTGTCCAGCAATCGGTGCTGTCAGTTATTACATAACAAATACACTAAATGGTAAGTGCAGGCACATTTCAGTTTCAAAAGGTCCAGATTGTTGGGTTGTATTAGTCTGTGAAATTTGAGGTCAAGGCAAGTGTCACCAGGGAGAAATTTAAATCGATTTCAACAACTTGTATTGTTAGAACAACTTTAACCCAAATAATAATTTAGCACTTCAGATGTGAGAATAATGCATGAGTAAAGTGAATTCCGAGCAAACATTATAGAGATTGGGGGAGGGGGCAACAGCTTGGTGAAAGATCTAGGTTTTGAGAAGGTTTTTAAAGGAAAGAAGGGAACAATGAAGAGTTCTCCAAAGAAAACAGCCTCAATCATCATGGTTAGGATAAAGGACGGGAGACTTACAAAAGACTAAAGTCAAAGGAATGAAATACCTTTGAGTTAGGAGGTGCAGTGTGATGGCCTAGGGTTGGAGAAGATTTCAGAGTTAGGATGGTGTGAGGCTAAGGAGGGATTTAAAAATAAGGATGAAGGTTTTTACATGGCATCTATTAGAATAGGTTGATCAATTTAGAGAGGAATAAACTGATTGACAAGTGGGACTTAGTGTGGCAAGGCTGCATTTTATTTCTTAATCATTGTACAATGTCCTAGCTAGAGTGTTTTTGCTCAACATTTTTATGTACGTATTTTGTACAGGTTCCAATTTCTAGTACAAAATAAAGATATGCAAACCTTTATTAAAACAAAGTTTTCCTTTTATTTTTACCCCCTAACTTTCTTCCCAACTTCTCCTGAAGGTATTGATTCAGTTAGGGTACAATTCCTTGAGTACCTGAAACCTGGATGAGTTTTTCCAAATGACCATCCTTTACATATGAATGTAAATAGTGAGGTGAGTAAGGGACTTGACCATGGGAATGTGTAAGAGGCAATCATAATCCTGAAAGGGCACAAGCCAGACGCTTAGAGGATAAAAAGGGAGAAGCTAGATCCAATGTTTAGCTACCACTTGCTGATGGAATTTCCTGTGTGAGTCGCTGAATAGTGATCAAAAACAAGGACTCTCACTAATTTGTTCCCTGTTCGAAGGATGCTGAAGGCAATTCTATGATCTCCACTGTGAACTTGGTTGAGATCAACAAATTCATTAGGGCTGTGAGTAAACATTGCTCATTTGGTAATTCTATAGGTCAGATTTAAATCTGATGATGCATTTTCGACCAGCACAGATCATTGGAAGGCGTTTTCTTTACAATCTTGCCTAGTTCTATTTACACCAATGGTAATGAAGACACTATGGCTGTAAAACTGTGCAGGTGGAAATTTTGTAAATAAAACAGTTCCAACTGTTTAATTCACCTTTCAAGTCAGGCAGTCACCTAAGTAAAATGAATAATACAAACAATTTCTTATTGTCATACTGATCAATTAAAATGGTGCTGCTTAAAGGTAAGTTAAAGGATATTAATAGTTTGCATTTTATTAAGGTTATATTACCTATTATATCACAAACAAAAACAGAGAATGCTGGAGAAACTCAGCATGTCTGGTAGCGTCTGTGGACAGAAAGCAGACTTAACTTTTCAAGTCCAATTACCCTTCTTCAGAACCCCAGTTCTGAAAAAACTGGGCTCTAAAGTTACCTGTGCTTTCTCTTCACGGATTCTGCGTGACCTGCTGAGTTTCTTCTGCAATTCCTGTCTTTGTTTCAGATATCCAGCATCCACAGTTCTTTGTTCTATTTTACCCATTATACGTCTTGGCTATGGAGGCATGCAGACAATTCAACCGAACTGAAACTGGCCTGGCTGCTTGATGTGGTCAGCATCAACGTAGAAGAACAAGTGAAAAGTTCATGTTTCTTTGTCATATCCAGTTGGTGTGCAAATTGTGTCACCAATAACTATTGGGTATATTACACAAGAAAAGTATGAGCATTTCAGAATTAAAGGGCACCAAGTTCCCACTACAATTCCCTGATTAGTGCCACATAATTGAGCAGTATTCAGAAATGGGGAAGATTCGAAACTTTAGATGAAACGCTTGCTCACCAGTCTAATAAAGTTATGTTAGGTATTAATACATGTACAAGTTCTGTAGCAGCCTTCTGTTAAAGATGATGTGAGAAGTGGTGGTCAACTCTGTGTTATTCATCACATGGTGTGGTCCAGGAGCCCCACTCTGGCATGGCTGTCATTGTTTCATTTGCTCAGAGGAAGGCAGCAGACTAAGAATGTGCATGATTCGCTAGCCTCAGTTTTTGCCAATATGTACAGCCTGACAATTGCAACATGGACACCTTTTCCCCACAATACTTGAGCAGTGAGGTGCCTTAATAGTTTATGCAATTGTTGCAGTTATCCTTGTTCCTATACAGGGTTATAATCTTTGCATCATGCATTTCCTGAAGGACTGCCCATTTGTCTAGCAGAGAGAGAGGAATTCATGCAGATAGTGAAGGAGTGCCAGTTTCTCATGGTTGTCAGGTTTCAGTAGTATAGCATCAGCACCTTGATTGTTGTCCATGGTAAGTGAGTCAATAACCATTACCAAACTCCTCAGCTGTAGGTTCAATATCCAGCTCTGCCATCATTCACCCATTCTCTGTGTCAGTTGACATGGGCTAATCACGTGTAACTGCTACATTCATGTTAACACTCCACAGTAAAACTGGAGTGTCCTCTCTGGGACAGTCTGGGTAAAATGTGTGAAGATCTGGGACGTCCAAGATTCAGGTCACCTTCTTAACCTCCCCGGCTGAGCCCAAAGAATGAAAAGCATAATGTTTAGCACCAGCTTAGTTGCAGGGGGTGAAGAAAAAGTTACATATTTAGACAGTCTACTTTTGCACTTCATTCCAGGTTTTGTGTCAGGGCTTCACTCCCTTCGGTTTCAATGTTCCTGAAGTATTCCATAAGGCAGGATGAAGGATAACAGCTAAACATATTAAGCCTTTATTGAGAATGAGGGGTGAAACCATTGAAACATACAAGATTCTGAGTGAGCTAGTCAGGGTAGATGTTAAGATGTTTCCAAAAATGAGGGAAATCGCAAACTAGGGGACATAGTCACAGAATAAGGGAAACTTATTTAACACTGAGATGGGGAGGAATTTCTTCTCTCAGGGGGTCATCAAAATCTGGAATTCTCTATCCCAGAGAGCTGTGGAGGCTAGATCACTGAAAGTATTTAAAGAGGAATCATAGAGTCTTTGAGAAAAGTGTACAGGTAGATAGGTTTTTGAAATATAAAGAAGTTGATGATTATGCTGAGTTGGCATGGAAGAGAAATTGAAGCCTGTGGCAGATCTTGCAGAATGGTGGGACAGACTTGACAGGCCAAATAGCCCACTCCTGCTCCTATCTCTTATATCCTTATGTTCAATGGAGCTACTCACACATGGCTGACTAACACACAAAAGCAGAAATCATGCTAACTCTCATTACCCACACAGCGGCCACATCACATCAACATGTTGGACACACAAGGTGAAGCTTATTGTAACGGAGTAAATGCGTTAAAAAAAATCTGGTTATAAAAGATCAGGTCAGGGCCAACAAATTGATAAAAAGATGTACCAGAATTAAAAACTAACTAAAAAAAATGGAATGATCTTAATTACATCCTTGAGAAATTTCAATGAATTGTACCTACTTATTTAAAATGAAACAGAACTTAATAATGTGAGTTTTTGTTATTTTGAATCTCTGGATGGTGCTGCAGGCTAAAGCACCATTAAAGATTGGAGCATATTTCAGAGTGTAATAAATAATAAGCAAAAGACAATCAGATTCTGTTGTCTGATCACATTTCCATGAAGTGCCTTGGCAATATTTCCTGTTAAAGCCACTACAAAAATACAACTGGTTATTATTGTTGATGTTGGATTTATGATCAGAGAACAGTGAGTGCTGAGCTATTGGATTATGGTTGACAGCATATTTTAGAGTAATCTTGTTCTCATTATGCCAACTTTCCAGGTTGAATTTTCTCCTTCTGAGCTCTGGAGTACGGACGTGAATTGAAATTGGTGTAATATCTCCTTTCCTTGTTTGACAGTGAAATTTAATCTTCTTGAAGCTGCAAGATAGATGAATGGGCACAATGTTCAGATAAACTAGATTTCTAGATTTAATCTGGATTTAATCTTAGTGTGACCACAGCCAGGAATTTAATAAAGTTATTCAGTGGAGCAAAGCAGTTGTACGCATAGTTTCTTTTAAGCTGATTGAGTTATTTATTGAGACTTAATTATAACAGGAGGTCTGTAAAAATCTGGCAATACAGTTGTCTTGTAACAACAAAGTAAACAAATCAGACATTTGTCTTGCAGCTAGGTTTACAAATTAACTGTTAAGAAGGTAAACATTAATTCTGGTTATCTTTAACCATGATATTCAAAGAAATTAATTGGTTTATCATTCACTGTCTTAACCATTCACAGTTCTGAAAGCTTTTACCTGTGTTTTCAAACAAGATTTTGGAAAATTAAGATAGTTTTCTGTTTAATCGTCTGCAGCTATAAATATTAATCACATTGGCTCCAAATTCATCCAAAAGTCAAAGTCAACAGTATCAGATGTTAAATTCAGAGCTGATCGTTAATGCGTACTAAAGTTACATATTATAACTTAGCTTTCATGACTGAATTCATAACTATGGTTTGGGTTCCACAGCTGTATTTATACAAATCCAAATTACATATTTTTACCAGAAGTAACAAATCACCTGGCTCAGTTCACATTGTAGAAATTGCAATTACAGATCTCAAATCTATTTCAATACCCGGTCCATCACACCAATGCCATAATTTTTAAAAATTGTATTTTTTCTGCATGACATCTGAAATTATTATCCTTTGTCTTTAGACACATGAGGAAGATACCTGACCTGGTTCAGCAACTTTGACAAAGTGACCGATGTGGACTCAGCAACAGATATCTGTGATGTAAGGAGAGTAATGTATCTCATTAACTTTTCATCTCCTTCAGGATAATATTGAAAAGTATGCAGTGCTCCATAAGAAGTCGTCTCTAATTTCAAATCACCAACACCAAAGATTCTCATATGGCAATTGTATATCTATAATAGTCTACATGGGAATGATCTTCCACTTACATAAATCAACTCAAAGGAGACAGAAACAAACGTATTTTAAAATAACCAGGTGACTACTCAAATTGATTCATGACTTTCTTTATCCTCAATATCTTTGGAAGAAGTTGGATAGGTCAAACAGTTAACATCCTAGAGCCCAGGGTGTCACTTTAAATTATAACTCATCAGTTTCAATCAGATTTTTATGTCGGTAACATTATTACTGTCACTTTGATGGATGGCATGGTGGAGAACAATGGATGTTCTTTTATTTATTGAAATTGGTGAAAGATTTCTGCACATCTCTGTTCCTTTCTGACATGAATGAATCGCTCCTATTGTACTGGGCAGGGATGTATCAGAGAAACAACAAGACATTCTGTTCCTCGCATGACTTCACTGTTTTAAGTTTGTATGGAATAAAATCTGTCAAGTTTGTAAGAACAGGAAGTGCTGGAGAAACTCAGCAGGTCTGGCAGCATCTGTGGAGTCAGGAAGTCCTTTAGGGAAGAATGTCTACTATCATTACCTGCTCTTGCCTACATGTAACTCCAGACTGACAGCAAAGTGGTTCATTCTTAACTGCTGTTTGGGCAGTTAGGGAGTACAATAAATGCTGGCCTTGCCAGTACTGCCCACATCCCATGAACTAAGTTTAAAACAGTGTCAAGCCTAATATGGGAGTTCTGTGAAAAGGTCACTGGACCTGAAACATTAACTGTGATTTCTCTCCACAGATGCTGCCAGAACTGCTGAGCTTTTCCAGCAATTTCTGTTTTTGTTTCATGTCTGATATGACTCTTTTACAGAATTACAACGGGCTGGATAATGGTGATTTTTATGTTGCTGACAGAGGGAGAGAAGATGCAATTGGAACAGATGGTGAGGGTGCCCCAAGCAAAAGACAAAGACAGTGCTAATCATGGTAAAGGAGAAATAGAGGTGTAAAACCAAAGCAAATGAAGGTGCAAAAAGGAGAAAATGGGCCTGCTCCACAGACAGCAAAGTCAACAAGACACAACCAAGACATGGCTGGAGGAGCATGGGAGATACAAGAAAATTAGAGGATAGAAGTCATGCACTGAAATTGTGCAAATTGATATTGAGTGTTAAAGGATGTAAATTGCCTAAGCAGAAAATGAAGTGCTGCTCTTCCAGCTTGCGTTGAGCTTCATTGAAGCACTGTAGCTGGCCCAGAGTGGATGTATTAGTATTGGAGCAAGATGGTCAATTGGATTGGCAAGTAACTGGAAGGTCCGGATCATTCTTACACACAAGACAGAGATGTTTTACAAAGCGGTCACCAGTCTGTATTTCGTCTTGCTAATATAAAGGAGACTGCATTGTGAACAGTGAATACAATAGACTAAATTGAAAGTATTAGCAAAACATGGCTTCACCTGGAAGGTGTATTTGGGCTCTTGGACAGTGAGGAGGGAGGAGGTGAATAGGCAAGAGTTGAACCTTGTGTGATTGCATGGGAATGTGCCATGGGGTAGTGAGGAAATGTTGGGAGTAATGAGGAATGGAACAGGGTGTCACAGAGGGAGGACAGAGGAACTAGGAGAATAGATTGAAATCCTTGCAAGAAGCAGAATGTGAGGAAGTGTACTCAAAGTGCAATGGAGTTGGTGGTATTGTACTTGATATTAATTTTTCAGGCTATCTCCAGAAATGGAAATGGCGAAGTCAAGGAAAGAAAGGATGTGTGAGCAGTGGATCAGGTGAAGGTGAGGGGAGGATGGAAATTAGAAGCAATGCTGATAAATTCTTATCTCCCTCTGTCGGAATTCAAACATTTCTTTCTCCATAGTTTCTTTCTCCATAGATGCTGCCAGACATGCTGAGTGCCTCCAATACTTTCTGTTTTTATTTCAGATTTCCTGCATCTTCTGTGTTAACTTTTACCCACTGAAGTAAATGTGTAGTTATACGTGTTGTTGAGATGCATTATGGTCTGTGTTCCAGTGTATATTGAGTGTTAACTTGTTCAAATATCACAATAAAACACTTCTATTTTTATTCTGTTTTATCAAACACAAACTAAAACTAACAACAAGATGTGATAAAAGTCATTTCTGGACTGTTGAAGCAACTGTAAACAATCTTCCCCAATGGTTCATGTAACCTATTTAAGTAGAATCTTTCTTTTAGCTGCATGAGTACGGGGGGGCAACATTTCCCAAGTTCTGAAATTTGCATTTCTGTTTTTCCCAGTAACTGCAGGTCCTAATAAGCTTTAAACAAGTCATCAAAAATGAATATTTCAAATGACAGGATTGCATTATATTTGTTATGTTTACTTTGATTGTCATTAATATTTTGCTTCATGGCCTCAGCCTGTCGCTATAACCCTTGCTTCAACTTATAAACTTTCCCAGAACATGTGAAATCAGCTTCTTTTTCCAACTATTAAGTCTTGGCTAGTGAAAGCAAAATTCTTGTGCCTCAGTCTTTGGACACAGGGACCATAATTCACGCCATGCTGCATCTGTTCAGATGGAGAGGATAAAACACAAATCCATCTACCCATGTCGCCTGAATGAATTTAGTGACAGTTCTGACACCTTAGGTACTTTTAACCTTTAATCCCCCATAGCATTGAAGCTGCAGAGTTGCATTTTGGCAGATGGAAAGATATCATGGTCCCACCTTGAGTTTGGACACCTGCAAAAACCACTCTCACAAGGCAGTTGGAGTAGGTGCCCAGAAAGGTCAAATACTGCAGTTTGGAATTTAACAACCTCACGTGGGTAGTCAGTGTCAATAAATGTATCCTCTTTGGACATCTCGTACCCAACACAATGCCAGCTTCTCATAATTTTTAAAGCATCACACCTCCATCGCACTCACAGTAGCAACTACTGTCGCTCAAGTCTCATCTTGACATGAAAGCACTGAGGAAAGGAGCAAAATTGGACCATACAGCCCATTGGGTCTGCTCCCCAGTGTTTAGATTTTTGATCTTTCAGGGAATCATAAGAAATAGTGAGACGATAAGAAAGTGGAATTGAGGCTAACAATCAGCCATGATTGTATTCATCTTGGCCTTAATACACTCACCAATGGAGCATTCACTTCAGTCTTAGGGTAGATAATTCCAAAGTTTCACAACTCGTTGAGTGAAGATATTTCTCATTAACTCTGTCCTTTCATATACTTTCATCAACTTTTTGCAACATTGTATGGTTATTCCTTAACAATCCTTAACATTCTCGTAAACTACAGATTGATCTTTCTCACCATGTCTGTGATTTTATCATAATGCATCTTCATTAAAAATTTTGCATAGTTTCTTCAAACATTTCCTGCTGTTTATTTATCACCATAGAATTTGGTCTATTCAGCTAATCAACCTTAAAAACTCGCTTGTCGTATCTTTAAGTTTAAGATTCTTCTTTTGGACTTAGTATGTCATTCTCTTTTAATATGACTCCCTAAAGATCTTTCACTATAAGAACACTAATTACCCCACCTTAATGTACAGTATCAGATGTAGTATAAAGTTTTATCCCTAATTGGTTCCACAATTTATTATTGTGGGAAGCAGTCATGAACATTTTCTCCAAAATTATTTTCCATGCTATCTTCGTCAGTTTAATTTGTCCAAAGTTGATTACCTTGCAACCATGATTCAGCAATGATGAATATATCAAACACATTTATCTTTATTTGTTACATTAGTTTGTATAGGTAAAACATTTTGTTCTTTCAGATAAATTGTTTTAATTTCTTTTACTACTATTATTTACTTAGACCTTATTAACTTATGCATTATTATCATTAAACTGCGCCCCCCCCCCGAGTACTTTGAGTACCTTCACTAATTTTCTCTTCAGTCCCTTTTCTGATCCTCTGCCCCTCTTTTAAAGCTCTATCCACCCCCATAGTTATATGATTCACTGATCCTAATCCATTTAAGTAGAGCCCATTACAACAGAGCCATCTCCTATTAGGTAATACCTGTGCCAGTGTCTCATCAGCTGTAACATTGTCTTCTCACAGCACTCTTTGAGTCACATGTTTAATTCTCTCCTCTGCTTAACCCAGGTTTGAGGCTCAGATAATCCAGAGAATATTGTCTTTGAGGTTCTGCATATTAATTTAGAATGCAGTTCCACAAACTCCCTGTGCAGAACCCTGATTCTTAATGCTACAAATGCAGTCTGTCACTGTGTGAGTCATGACAAATAAATCCTCTGTCTTTCACTCCAGGGGCTGAGTTTTATACCAGGAGTGAAGTTGCAACCCCTGAAGCACCCCCACTCCGTCCCAACAGCCACAATCCCTCACTGGGGGCAAATTTTAGGTGTCAGCTTGCCTCTGTTTGGCTGGCTCAGGGTTAGCAATAAGCTTGTTCATCTTTTGCTCAAGAAAACCTTGTAATTGGCTTCTTACTGCTCCAATAAAATTTAATTTGAGAAAGATATAGCCTGGTGTTAAGTGGAATTTAAACCTTTGCTGTGCTCAATCAAAAAGTTTGAAGAGAGGAGAGACAGTTTACCCCTCCTCATGTAGTCATAAACAACCCTTTAACAGCCAGTGGAATTCTCACTCATGCCCTTTAGGGAAGGAAACTGCCATCTTTAGCTGGTCTGGCCTACATGTGACTCCAGACCCACAGCAATGTGGTTGATTCTTAACTGGCCTTTAGGCAATTAGGATGGGTAATAAATGCTGCCTAGCTAGGGACGCCTTCATCCCATGTATTAATTAAAAAAGTGTCTGTTGAAGAGTTCAGCAGCATTTTTGAAAGCAGCACAGATCTGGTCAGCTCTTGGAACACTAGGCGCTGCTGCAGCAAAAACAGATCTTCATCAGTGGAAGAGCTGTAACAGCAAGCATAACAACTTTAAAAGCTTAAAGAAGCCAGAAACAGGAGGAAAAAAGGTAGAGAAAAGCTTGTGAGGACCAGAAAGAGTCTCACTGAAGCTACAACGAGGTACATCTGATTTGCAAAACATTTTAGTAGTGAAAGTGCAAGGCTAATATGTTCCTGTAAAGAGTAACAAGTCCAGAAAACCTTGGATGTTAAGAGACATACAGGATTGAATAATGAACAAAAGGAAACTTATGACATATACCAAGAGCACCAAACAGCAGATGTTCTTGAGGAATATACAAAATGCAGCAATTATTTAAATAGGAAATTTTTAGAGTGAAGAGGGATTATTAAAACACACTGGCTGATAATATTAAGGAAAATCCATAAGTGGTGTATAAATTTATCAGGGGTGAGAAAAGTACCATAGAACGAGACCAAATTGGCATTCTGGAAGTCATAGCCAATATTTTAAATGAGTTATTTGCATCTTTATTCCCGATGGAAAAGGATGATGTAGGTACAGAAATCAAGAAAGGGGACTGTGATATACCTGAACAAATTAGAATTGAGAGGGAAGATGCATTAGTGCTTTTAGTGGGATTGAAAATGACTAAATCCCCAGACCCAAATAAAATGTATCTAAGGCTGCTTTGAAATTAGGGGAGGAAATTGGAGGGTCTACGACATTAATTTTCAAATCCTCTGGCAACAGGAAGAACTCCAAAGGACTGTAGAATAGCTAATGTGGTACCTTATTCAAGAAGGATAGTAGAGATAAAGCAAAAAACTATAGGCCAGCGAGTCTAACATCATTGGTAGGGAAACCATTGGAAAAACTTCTGAGGGACAGAATTAATCTCTAATTGGAGAGGCAAGGATTAATCAACAATAGTCAGCATGGCTTGGTCAGGAGGAGATCCCATCTAACAAATTTTGTTGAATTTTTTTGAGGAGGTGACTAGGACTATAGATGAGGTTAGAGCAATTGAGATAGTCTACATGGACTTCAGTAAGGCTTTTGACAAGGACTTGCTGTTTTGACAAGGCTGGTTAAGAAAGAAAGAACCCATGGGATCTGGGACAATTTGGCAAACTGGTTCCAAAATTGACTAATTTGCAGGAA